CGAAGGGACCCGGAAGTGGTGTCGGGGCTGTAAACAAGCACATGGAGGGGATCTTAAAGGTACAGCGCCCCCGCGGGGCGGGAGGGGGAGGAGGGACGGCGGGGACAGGGACGGGGGACAGGCAGGGGTCCCGGAGGTGACACGGGGGGCTGGCAGGGCCTTGGGGACTAAGGGGGGAACGGGGACAGGGAGGGAACACGGCCTGGAGGAGGGGAGAGGGGTGCTGGGGGGTCACCCCGTGTGTGTCCCCCCCCAGGTCCCCTCCAAGCAGGAGGGGGGTCCCACGGCCCCAGTGAGGCCCCCCGGGATTCCTGATGCTGAACCCCAGGATGAGCCCCCCAAGTCCCAGCAAGGCTCCTGGGGTGCCACCAGGGACCTGGGGTCCCATCAAAGCTCCTGGGGTGACATGAGGGACCTGGGGTCCCACCAAGGCTCCTGGGGTCCTACCAAGGCTTGTGGGGTCCCACCAGCAACGTGGGCTCCCACCAAGTCTCCTGGGATACCACCAGGGACTTGGGGTCCCACCAAAGCTCCTGGGGTGCCACCAGGGACCTGAGGTCCCACCAAGGCTCCTGGGGTGCCACTGGTTACAGTTCATGCTGGTGCCAGGGTCCCCATTGTGGTGCCAGGGTCCCCCAGCGCAGGTGACAGAGCCAGCAGCAGAGCTGCCCCCACACAGAGCAGCAGCTCCACACACCCAGCCCAGGGCTGTTTTCCTACAAATAAATTCAATTTCCAGCGATATTTGGGATTCCCATAAACAAACCCCTCTTTCTCTTCCACCCGAGGTGGCCGGTGGCTCGCCCTCCCCGTTGGCTGCATCCCCGGTGACACCGGTGCCGGCCCGGCCCCACGGGAGAGAAAGGACCCTCGGCGGCACACGCGGCGCTGGATTTGCCTCTGGGGACTAAATTTATTTAGCAAAGAAAGGTGCCGGCCGACCCCACGGCGGGCAACCCGTTACAGTCAGTAAAGGATAACAGATCCGTCACGGAACCCAGAGAACAACCCGGGGCAGTTACAACTAAAAAATAAAGTGGATTTGTTTAATTTAAAAGCTCAAAAATAACAAGCCATATGTTTTTGTTTTGTTTTTGTTTGTTTTTTTTAAACATGTAGTAAACACAAAAGCAATATAATCTATGATACAATGTACACTATACACAGTGGGGGTGGGCGGGCAGCACACGGGGGAGGAAAAAAGGGGGCTGAAGTCCCAAAATTCCAAAGGAAACGCCGCGTCGCTTGGAAACAGAAAAGTGGGGAGAAAAATCGTCGGAGAGGGAAAAAAAAAGCAACAAAACCAACCCAGCAGCTCTTCAGTATGGGAAAAGAAACGTTAGGAGAAAAGGAGGGGGAGAAGATGGGCAGCGTCTGAAAGGAAAATTAAATAAAGATTTTTAGAAAAGCGCTCACAAAACACAGTGTTGGTGCCGGGGAGCGGGGGGAGCGTAAGGCAACAATCTCCATAGAAAAAAAGGGACCTTCCAAAGGGGCTTATATAGATATTTATAGCTATTTATAGACTTTAAATATAAAGTAGGAATGTGCTGTGGAGCCTCTCCCCACCCGCCTGCACCGCAGCGTGCGGTCCCCTCCAAGCCCGGCTCCTGCGTGGCCGTGAGACGTTGTCACCAGGCTCTGGGCCACCACTGGGCCACTGCTGGGTGGCCACCCCGTGGCCCTGGGCATCCGCAGGGGGGCTCGGCCCCTCAAACCTTTCAGAGAGGGGGACTTCTGCCTGGGGGGCCCTGGTGGCAGCGGAGGAAGGGCAGGAGGATGTCCCCGAGGGCTCCTCTCCGTGGCTGGGGACGCGGGAGAGCTGCGGCGTCACAGGCTGGTGGCCTCGCCAGGGTCTGTCCGCGCTGGCCGGGAGCCGTGGGGCAGCCTCTGGCCCTACAAGTTCTTGGTGACCAGGTGGGTTTTATAGTGCTTCGTCAGGTGGTCGCTCCGCATGAAGCGTTTCTGGCACTGGGCGCACTCGAAGCGCTTGTCACCTGCGGGAGAAGAGGGGTGGCAGTGGTCAGGGGGTGGCAGCTGGTGTGACACCACCCCTGGTGTGACAGCACCCCCGGTGTGACACTGTCCCCGGTGTGACAGCACCCTCACCCTCCGGCTTTTGTCCCTCTGTTCCCCCAAACCAGCCACGGTGGGGACAGGGGGGACCTCCCGGGGTGGCAGTGACACCAGGTGTCCCCTTTGCAGCCACAAAACCCCAGCCCCTTCCCATGACACTTGTCACCACCGTCACCCGGAGACCCCAAAGGCAGCAGAGACCCCCCCAAAAAAAGTTCCTCAGTCCCTCCCAGTAACTCAGTCAAATTGCAAGGACTGAGTGGTGGGGCCCAAGGTCATCCCAAGTTGGGTCTTTGAAGGCTCAGGACCCTGCAGGGGCTGGGGTACAATTTGGGGAGGGAGAGGATGGTGTTGGGGTGTCCTGTGGGGTGCAGACTGGAGGGAGGGGACAGTGTTGGGGTGCCCTGTGGGGTGCAGACCAGAGGGAGGGGACAGTGTTGGGGTGTCCCAGGGGGTGCAGACCAGAGGGAAGGGATAGTGTTGGGGTGTCCTGGGGGGTGCAGACCAGAGGGAGGGGACAGTGTTGGGGTGTCCCAGGGGGTGCAGACCAGAGGGAGGTTGGAGATGGAGTTGGGGTGCTCCATGGGGTGCAGACCAGAGGGAAGGGTCAGTGTTGGGGTGTCCTGGGGGGTGCAGACCAGAGGGAGGGGACAGTGTTGGGGTGTCCCAGGGGGTGCAGACCGGAGGGAGGGGACGGTGTCGGGGTGCCCTGGGGGGTGCAGACCAGAGGGAGGGGGGGGGATGGGGTCGGGGGGTCCCGTGGGGGGCAGACCAGAGGGAGGGAGGGGACAGTGTTGGGGTGCCCCAGGGGGTGCAGACCGGAGGGAGGTTGGGGACGGTGTCGGGGTGCCCCGTGGGGTGCAGACCGGAGGTTGGGGATGGAGTCGGGGTGCCCCGTGGGGTGCAGACCTGTGTGGGTGCGAGCGTGTCGCTGCAGCTCGTCGCTGCGCGTGAAGCGCTTCCCGCACAGGATCCAGTTGCAGACGAAGGGGCGCTCCCCCGTGTGCAGGCGGACGTGAGCCCGCAGCAGAGAGGTCTTGCGGAAGGTCCTGCCGCACTCGGGGATGTGACAGATGTGTTTCTTCTTCCCCGGGTCCCCCGGCCTGGCGAGGAAAGCCAGAGTTAGTCTTGGAAAAGGGGATGTTCTGGATATTAGGAAAAATTTTTTCACTGAAAGGGTTATCAGCCATTGGAATGGGCTGCCCAGGGAGGTGGTCGAGGCACCATCCCTGGAGGTGTTCAAAAGAGGGGTTGATGTAGTGCTGGGAGGTCTGGTTTAGTGATGATGCTCCTTGTTTGTTGTGGGGGTGTCTATTTTTGTCAGTCAGGTTGACGGTTGGACAAGATGATCTTTAAGGTCCCTTCCAACCTAGAAGATTCTGTGATTCTGTGATTCTATGTGGGGGGAGCCGGTCCCGCAGGGCTGCCCTTTTTCCCCCCCCTCCCCTCTGTGCTCACCTTTTCTCTCCATCCTTGCAGTTGGGGCAGGTACACGCCATCCGCCGCCTCTTCTCCCCGGGCTGGATTTCTCCAGACAACGCCTGCTCCATCTGGAGCTGGATCTGGGTCGGGCTCAGGCCGCTGATGGTCAGGTTGTTGCCGGAGACGTTCTGCACAGTCAGCTGCTGCTGGCCTGGGGGAAGGTGAGGGGGGGGAAAAGGGGGTGTCAAGCTCTGTCCCTCCACTCCTGGGGAGGCTGTGTTGTGCCCTCGTGTTACTGCCCACCACATCCGGCCATGCTCCTCGTGCGGGTCCTGCCGAAACCCCCCAGATGGAGGAAAGACCCCCCTTCTCCACCGCGTGCGGGATGGGACACCCTGGGCCTCGACGCCCCCAGCCCCACATGCAGCGCCACCACGGTTCCCCCCCCCTCGCCCCGCCACGTGCTGGTCCCCAACTGGGGCTGGTAAGTCCCATTTTTTTTATTTTTTTTTTTTTTTTCTGAATATACTGTGCGGTTTTTCAAAGTTTTCGGTTTGACCCTTCGGGGTGGGGAAAAAACGGCCAAAGAGGAAACAAAAAAAGAAACTTTGAAAAAACGTGCAATATATTGACCAAAAAAAAAAAAAAAACGGGACTTACCCCGGGACCCTAAGGGCCGCTCCACGCTCGGGGCGCTCACGGAGGCGGCAGCACCCGGCAGCCGCGACGGGGGCTGGAAAGAAGAAGACGGGGTCAGCGTCAGCAAGCGGGCTGGCTGCTCTCGGGGCAGCTGGGAAGGAGGAGGAAGAGGAGGAAGAGGAAGAAGAGGAGGAGGAGCGGGATGGATCTGACGGTGGAGCGAAGAAGGGGTGACGACAGAGCAGGAGGATGGGATGAGGGGTGAAGGCAGAGTGAAGGTGCCACCACGTCCCCTGGGAGGGCAAGTGCGAAGCCGAGGGTCGGGGCAGCGACTGCAAGATGTGTGGCTGCTCAGGAGAGGGGCACGTCCTGGTTGAACCCAGGCTGAGACCCGACACAATTCGTGTCATCCACGGCCAGCAGCCAGCAGGTCCTACCGGTCCCCTCTCTCGGCGCGGTGCAGGCACAGACAGCGGCAACACCTGCCTGTGGCATCTCCCCCGATGCTCACGGCGGGCCCCACGTTTACAGGCCAAGCAGCAATTAAAAACCCCTTGAAAAGCAACCCCAGCGAGGCCGGCCGCCCGCCGCCGAGCACAAACCCACGCTGGCCCGGGTTTTGTGCTGACAGGGTTTAGTCAAGCAAGAAAGAACAGCTTCCCACTGCAAAACCCAGCCGGGGACTCCTGCCGGGTTCCTGCTGAGAGAGAAACCACCGCAGGGCAGCAGGTCTTTCCGGATCAGAAAGCAGATAAAACCTTCCCTCAGACACGGCTTCCTCCCCTCGGCTCCCCTCGGGACTGGGCTGGGGAGGGTTGGCTGGGCAGGAGGGGAGGACAGGGACGTGTCTGTCCCGGCAGCGGGGAGAGGAGCGGGCGACGCAGCGTCAGACACGCACCGGGGCTGCCTGGGGCTCACACGTGGCTCCAGCCACGGGCCAGGGGCTATTTTTGGCTTAAGGAAGACACTTGTCCTGTGGAGTGAGGGGCTGGCGTCACTGTCGGGGGATGGTGAGCCCTCACAAGAGGTTGGAGGAGCTAAACCTCAGGTGGGTGAAGGCAAATCACAGAATCACAGAATCTTCTAGGTTGGAAGGGACCTTAAAGATCATCTTGTCCAATCGTCAACCTCACTGACAAAAATAGACGCCCACACAACAAACAAGGAGCATCATCACTAAACCAGACCTCCCAGCACTACATCACCCCGTCTTTTGAACACCTCCAGGAATGGTGCCTCAACCCCCTCCCTGGGCAGCCCATTCCAATGGCTGAGAACCCTTTCAGTGAAAAAATTTTTCCTAATATCCAGCCTGAACCTCCCCTGGCGCAACTTGAGGCCGTTTCCTCTTGTCCTGTCGCCTGTGACTTGAGAGAAGAGACCGACCCCCATCTCTCTACACCCTCCTTTCAGGGAGTTGTAGAGATCAATAAGGTCTCCCCTCAGCCTCCTCTTCTCCAGGCTGAATAACCCCAGCTCCCTCAGCCTCTCCTCATAAGACTTATTCTCCTGGAAACCCACACCAGGAGTCTTTACACCCAGCAGATGTGAGGGGAGACACCCTGACCCTGGGACTAGGACCTGGCAGTGTCACCTGTGGTGGGGGCTGCTGGCCCAGCCAGGGGGAAAGCCCTGGGGCACCCTGTCTCTGCCTGGCTGGGTCCTGGCTCTCCCAAAGACACATGTCTCACCCCAAAGGTCTGGACACAGCTCAGTCTCCCCCCAGCGTGGAGCTCAGGAGCAAACAGAGCCCAGGGCTGGGGTCCCGGGCAGCCCCTGCGCTCAGACGTGTCCTGCAGCTCAGCACGACCCAACCCTGTCTCCCCAAACCTCCCTCCCTGGCACTGCTCATCGGGACGGGCTTGGAAACACCCAGAACCATCAGAGACACCCTCCCAATCGGGGGCCTCCTGGAGGGAGGGAGAGCTGGAGGAGCTGGGGTCCCGGGCAGCCCCTGCGCTCAGACGTGTCCTGCAGCTCAGCACGACCCAACCCTGTCTCCCCAAACCTCCCTCCCTGGCACTGCTCATCGGGACGGGCTTGGAAACACCCAGAACCATCAGAGACACCCTCCCAATCGGGGGCCTCCTGGAGGGAGGGAGAGCTGGAGGAGCTGATGACATTTAACAGGCAGCAACGTTCAGCTCCGGGGTAGAAGGGATCTATTAGCGGGAAGGGGGGGGATTTCTGTCCCCCAGCCCAAGGAGCTGCCTGTGTCCCCTCTGTCCCCCCCAGCCCCATGGCAGAGCGGCGCGTGACCCACCTCCGGTGTTGGTGATGGTGACAGGCACGCCCTGGACCTGCACGCCGTTGATGTTGATGGTCTGCATGGCCTGCGCGGCGGCCGCCAGCTGAGCCGCGTTCAGGCTGATGATGCCCCCGGCCGGGGCGATCTTTGGCAGGGGCCGTTCCTTGCGAGTGGCTGGTTTCTTGCTGCTGCTGCTGCTGCTGCTGCTGCTGCCACCACCGACCCCCGTGCCGGAGCTCCGGGACACCGGGCTGCTGCAGGAGGTTCCAGACGGAGCCACCGTCATGGCTGGGGCTTCCTGGAGCAGCACTGTCTGCAGCTCACCCGACGGCGTTTTGAAGTAGACCTGGTGGAGGAGAGAAGAGAGAATTGAGACCAGACACCCTCACGGGGCAGAGCCCTCTCCCTCCCCACACAACCCAGGAATCTGGGTCTGCGATGGGCCAAAGAGCAGGAGGAGTTGCCCGAGCATCTGTGGGCCTCCTGAAGAAGGTCCTGGCCTCACACAGTGGCAAAAGGCTGCGTTAGCCTTGCAGCCTGCCTTCCAAAGGTGACACTAAAGACACCGTCCCGCAGGCTTTCCCACCTCCCTCCATCTCCCAAGAGCTTCTGGCCAGACTTTCTCATCCCAACCCCAGCTGGTGGCACAGCAGGTTTCAGGGACACTATGATCCTACAAATACAAGCAGGTAGCCACCAGAGAGACTTCATATAGCCCTGCAGAGGGAACAGCTGGACTCCCAACCCTTTTTTGCCATCAGAGAATCCACACAAGTGATATCTAAACTGGATGCCAAAGTGGGGATGTCTGGTGGCTCACAAAACCCTTCAGCTTTTTAAAGCCTGGCTGGGGGCTCAGGAGAAACAGGGCAGAGGGACCTTGCAGGAGGACTCAGGAGGCGGTACCTGGGTAGGAGTGGGTTCCGACGTCTGGATCTGGAAGTTCTGGGAGGATTTTTGGGGGACGGTGGGGAGCGTGGCGGAGGCGGCCTGGACCACGCGCAGGGCCTGCTGAGGGATCTGCACCACCTGCGACTCCTGCTTGGGCTGCACCACCTGGACCTGCTGCACCACGGCCGGCTGGCCGGAGCCCGGGCTCTGCACGATGAGCAGGTTGTTGCCCGCCTGGATGATGTTCTCCGCCGTGGTCTCTATCAACACCGTCTCCACCTGCTCGGCCACGGCCACCGTGGCAGGTTGGGCGGGGGACATGGCCTTCTTTCGAGTCTTTTTGCCAGGTTTTGAGGGACTCTCTGCGAGGATCTGAGCCTGCGTGCCCGGCTCTGCCGCGTTCACCAGGTTGTTCACAGGCAGGGTAAGAGTCACGTTGCTGCCACCGGCCAACTTGACCTGCGCCGAAGAAGCTCCACCCTTCTGTGCCGGAGCTGGTTTGATGGGCACGGGTTTGTGAGAGGAAGAGGAAGGGGTGAGGATGGCTTGATTCGTTCCCGGAATAATCTGGATCTGGTTGGAGAGGTTGGGCTGGACCTGGATGGTCTGTCCCCCCGCAGTCTGGATCTGGGGCACCGCCTGGTAGTGGATGTTGGCGGAGGAGCGGGCACCCTTGTTGATGACAGTTGGGTTCTGGATGGCAAAAACCAGTTGCCCCCCAGTGTAGGAGGTGCTGACCTGAGAGCCCTGGATCTGGAAGAGGTTCCCTTTCGACGACAGGATCCCAAAGCTGTTCTTTCCCGAGCCCAGAGGGAGAGGAGCAGGTTTGATGGGGACGAGTTTGCGAGGCGTTGGCTGAGGAGGGGCAGGAGGAGTCACGGCGGCTTCCACGGCGGGGGGACCGATCTTGCTACATGTCGCTGCGAGGAGGGCAAGAGGAGAGGGCTGGGAGTCCTGGGGAAACAGGAGAAAGAGGGTCCGTTAGAGACAGGGGCTCCTGCCAAACATCTGGAGACCAATTCAGCAAAGGGAAGGGTACACGCCATCGAAAGCAATCCAGCCCATGCCAATGAGACAACCCTTATTAAGGGAACTGCTAAATTAGTCGTACCACGTGTGCCTTTAGCTCACCCCCTCACACTACTTTTAGCCAACAGGATGGCGAAAGCCTTTTAATCACGTGCCTGTGTTCTTACAACCCCTATAAAGCTGCAAACACCCTGCAAGTCTTGCCGGTATTTACACCCAACACACACACCCTGGAGTGTTTCATGCCGTTTTAACTCCAAGACCACCTCGTGATATCAGCTGCGAACACAACCCAAGAGATCCCGAAGGAAAACACAGCGTGGGGAGGAGAAACATCACTCCAGAAGAGTTGGTGTGGGAGCTGGGAACAAAGCCAGAGCTCAGCTCCCCAGCCTGTCCTGCAACCAGCCCTTCTCCTGAGGCGGCAACCGTGGCCACGGCAGGGCCAGGAGGGGCTGAAAGACACGGCGTTTGCTGCCCCCCAGCCCAGGACATGTCCCTTCACCCCAGCAGAGCCCACCCATGGCCCCGTCTCACCTGGGCAGTGGAGGCGGCCGGCTGCAGGTATTCACTGGGGCTGACGGCAGCAGTCGCAGCCATGCTGTCTCTTGATCTGCCAGGAGAGAACAGAGGGACCAGTAAGACCAGCAGCAAGAACGGAGACCACAGCTCCTCGGTGCGCCCAGCCCAAGGCCCAGTGTTTCCCTGTGTCACCCGAAATGTCACCCCTCACCCCATGGGGGGTTACAAAGGGGTTAGAGACATCTCACCATCTCATCACCCTCTCCCCGCGCTTTCCTTTGCCCGCCACCAAAGGGAAATGCCAATTATGGTGGGTGACCAGCTGCAGCCCTCCTTCATTTGCCTGGATCCCAGCACAGCCTTGACCTGAAGCCACAGTCCCCCCAGGGCTGGGACACCGTGGCTGCCACCGGGAGCCCCCGACAGAGGCAGGCATGCCCAGGAACCCGATGGCATCCCGGTTCCCAGGTCACACCGCCTCCCTGCCACTCATTTTCCTAACTTTGAGAATCTCAAAGGATGGAGTTTTGGTGCAGGGTTGTGTTTTTCAAGGCTGGAAAAACATTGTGTTTCGATTATTTTGGTTTGTTGTCGGTGCCGAGTGTTTGTATGTCATTATGACATTAAAAGGTCACTTTTAAAGGGAATAAAAGCCCATGCTGGCACAGGCTGGCAGCGAGACCTGGGGAGGTGAGAGCAGCAGCAGCAGCGGACGGCACACGGAGGAGCCAGGGCCACGGAGCCCACAGCTTCACTGTGGAGAGGAAGAGGAGAAAGGAGAGGTTACAGCAGAGGAACCCAGGGGGCAGGTGAGAAGATGGGGTTGATTTATTGCCCTCATCACTTTGCTGCCTTCCTCTCCTGACACTTTTCTCGGGAAGGAACAGGTTCGCAGTCCCCAGTGCTCATCATTTTGCCCCAAAAGCCGCAGAGCAGTAACACCGAGGCTGAGGCTCTTCTTGCCACTGGGACAGCTACAAGGGTTTCTTTTTAAAGGTTTAATGGGGCAAAGCCAGGGAGAGAGACTCCTAAATCCTCACAATTCGCTGAATCTTTTGTTCTGTCCTGGAAAGACATTTCATCCTCGACACTTCCTTTGGCAAATTCCCCGGTCCCCCCGTCCAGCAGTCCCCGCCTGGCTCAATAGCTCGATAATATTTGCCAAGACAAGGTGCCAGGGAAAACTTGTCTGAGCTCGAACCCTCTTTTATTATCACTGCTGACAATGTCCTGACTTCAGATGGGGAATTACGGCCCGTCTGAGGAATATGGATGTTTGGGCTTTAACTCAGGGTGTCTCTGAAAGGCAGCCCTGGCCCTGGGGTATTTACAGGGATGCTTGGATGGCAGGAGTGATGGGAAGTGCCGGCGGAGGATGAGTAGCACAATGAAGATAGGAAGCCCCAGATGGCTTATAAAACACTGTACCAGCCCAAAATTAACCGTTGTCTAAGCACAGTGAGTGCCTTGTTGCTGCTCACAGGGACTGGGCAAGAATGGCATCCCAGGACTGCGCAGAGCAACGCTCTCTGGCTGCGGGCAGGCAACGTGAAGATCTGGCACAGGCAGAGGTTCTATTTAATGACCTCGTGCTCCTGCCCAGGGACCTGCGGGAGATCCAGGGTTGGGGAAAATTAAGTGTGGGGTTTGTTTCAAAGGGAGAAAACTCCAAGCTCTGCAGCATCTATCGCAGCGGAGGCGAGAGGCGCTGGCACAGGCTGGGCTGAGGTGACAGGGCCAGCACCCAACCCCAGAACGGGCAAACTCGACGTTCCTTGAAGCACCATCTGCTGCCAGCACGTGGCTGCAGGAGCCCTGGCCAAAAATCACATCTGTATTGGGAAAAAAAAGGGTTTTTTTTCTGTTTTGACCCCCTCCGCTAGCAGGGACGGCGCAGGAGGGGTACACATTGCTGCCCCAACGCAAGGGCTGGTCGTCACATCACAGAAACATCAAATTGTCCAAGTTGGAAGGAACCTTTAAGTTCATTAAGTCCAATCATAACACAGCTTAACGCTGGGAGAAGAGTCCTCTAGGTAATTGAGATGCAGTCAACGCTGGCGTAAGAACCAGAGGTGGGCACCCCCAGCTCCCCCCGCATCCCTTGGCTGCCCTGCACAACACGGACCGAGACAGACAGCTCCTCCCTGGGAACGTGGGGGCTTTCACCAAACAGAAAAGCCCAGAAAAGCACTCGGGCCACGGGCCAAGTCACCAAGGAGCCAGCTTCCCAAAGGCAGGCAGCTCTCGCCCCTCGCCAGCGCGGCTCCTCTCCAGGCACCGCGGAGACAACTCCTGTGACCAAGAGCATATAAATCCTCGGGGAGAGGCAGGTCGGAGCCCCAGGCGCCTGGGATGGCACCGCAGAGAAATTACTCCCCCCGTTCCTTAGAGAAGGGGGTCCATTCCCTGGAAGCCCCTGGCTGCTGCTCACTGTGGCAACCTCCCGGAGACGAAAGCATCAGACGCTCGCGCCCGGCGATAAAAGGAGGCTTTCTTCCCAGAAAACCAGGAGCTTGTACAGCTGCCCGAGTCCAAGGGCTGCACCCTCCCTCTCAGCAGAATTAGGGCAGTGCTGAGGATTAACAGCCCTGACGACAAATAAGAGCGATGCTGAGCTGGCCCGAGAGAGAGAGAGACACACATTCCAGGAGGGATCCCATTAGGCTGAACCAATAAGTAAGGATAATGACCGGGGGAGAAGCCCTGTGTCGCCACAGCTGAGGTGTAATCCCTCCATGAGTTTCTCACTCGTACAATTTAAGTCCAGAAGTGACAGTTTCACCTCCCGAGGGTGTAACGTGGTACAAACCCACTCCTGGCGCGGTGAAACCCAGCGGGTACCGAAGCACCAGCTCCAGTCTCTGGGTGTTTGCCCAGGACAGAGCTGGGAGTGGGATTGTCACCGCCTTTGGGGAACGTTCCCTGGGGAATACGGACCCTCCTGAGAGGCAGGAGCTCCCCCCCAGCACCCTCTCACAGACGTGCACCGGGAAACCACCGCCTGCTCTGCCTTACACACTTATTCACACCCCACAATGAATTTGTTGAGCAGTTCAGGTCCAGTTTGCCCCTCTGTAACCCCCTGGCCAAGCCTCAAGCAGAAGAGGACTCTCCCTTAAGGCAATTAAAGAGCATCAATTCATAAAATTCATTTTTCTCTCACCACCTCCTCTTCCTCTGCCTGTCACAAGCACAGTTTTGTATGGAAACCACCTCCCTACGACGGGAAACAACAGCCTCCTCACCCCTTGCCTGCCTTCACCCCTGGAAAAGGGCAAAGCAACCAAAACCTCAGCGATTTCTGGCTCGAGAACCGTTTCCTTTATTTATGTTCCTCAAACGAGCAGAACCAGGACTCATTCCTGCCCCGGGACAGACGGACCAAGTGCCCTGTGTCCCAACCAACTGCCCGGATACCCTAAGGTCTGCCTGATGGTGCTTCGAGGAGCTCTCAGAGCCCGCTGGGAGCTCGTGGGGAAAAAAAGTCGACAGGGCTGGAGGGATGGAGCTGTAGGAAGAGAAAACTTACCAACCGCGCCGGCCCATGAGACCCCATGTCCAGTGGAAGTGCCCGCTGGCAGCCAGCTGGGCCGCTCACACCAGCACGATTGGTAGGTTTGCTCAGAGGCGGCTCCTTGGCTTCTCACAAGAATTTATTTACTTTGGAAACTGGGCCTTTATCTTCAATATTCTACAAGAGATATAAAAGGGAAAGATGGGGGTTTTGGGGTTTTTTTTTCATTCCTAAGCAGGAATTAGCCTTCTCCTCGGGGAGCTGCCAGGGAATCCTCCGCAGGACCTACAGCTTCCAGCTTGGCAGAGGAGCCTGGCACAAGAGGCAAACGTGGCCCAGAAGTTATTTGCCAGCCCTCACAGCCACAAGCAACACCCCGTCCCGCAGCTCCAGTGGTGCAGGCAGCTCTACCCAGCCACAAAACCCCCTTTTGGGGAGTTTGGGGAGTTTCGGGGAGTTTGTGTATTTTAGACCATGATTTCAAGCTTTATCACCACAATATCCTTGTTAACTTTCCTCTGAGAGAGGAAATACCTCACCAATTTACAGAGAGGGTATTCCAGCAGCAGGGGAGTCTCTGCTCCCCAAAACACCCTTTCCACCTGCCTGGTGAATCTTTTTTGGGGGGTGAACATGATCCGAACTTCAAGCCTTCGGTTTAAGCCAAGTTGACACACCTGATCCGGGTTACCACAGTTTAATTAGCGCCTGGAGCATGAAGGTGAATCAGAGTCCCCCAAAACTCCCCGAAAGACCTCAGCAAGTGGGATAAACAAAGTGCTCAGGAGCACAGTCAGAGGGGAAAACAACCACACCGATGGTAACAACCCCATTTGTTTGTCAGGGCCTTAAGTGAATATTCAAAGTCGGGCATAAAGGAGCTCAAACACCTGCATATTTACATATTAACAGCAGGAAATCAAGCAGCCTCTCAGAATACACTGGCTGGGATTTCTGTTGTTGTTTCTTTTAACTCCTGGTCTGACTCCACCACGCCTGGGACAACACAACCACTTGCCAACAGCAGAGTTTGTTTTCTCCTTCCCTGATGCTGGGGGCGAGGGGGGAGAAATCCCCCGATGCTTTGGCTGTGTTTAAGGAGAAGAAAAGGAACTAAAAAATAAAGCCAGCCAGGATGGGCCACACTGCTGAGGATGCACGGGGAGGAGGGAGGGCTGCACACCCAAGGAAGGAAAGGTTTTGGGGTGCGGGGAGCGAGCAGATGGAGGGGCACCCCCAGAGCCACGAGAAGCCCCGGTGTGGAAACTTCCAGCAGCATCCACCTGTGGCTGCTGGAGCGGCCCCGATCCCCAGGGATCCCTGCACATCCCCAGGGATCAGGGATAACCACCCTGGGCCTCACCTCCCTGGGGCCTCCCCCCCTCCTCGGGGGAACGAGCCCGAATCCCCCCCAAAAACCAGAAAGGGGGTGTGTGGGGGCTGAAATACCCTTCCCCACACAGAGCCCCCCCAAACACGCAGCAACACCCCACTCCTCCACACCCCTCTCCCCAAAACCACCACTTGCCAACAGCAGAGTTTGTTTTCTCCTTCCCTGATGCTGGGGGCGAGGGGGGAGAAATCCCCCGATGCTTTGGCTGTGTTTAAGGAGAAGAAAAGGAACTAAAAAATAAAGCCAGCCAGGATGGGCCACACTGCTGAGGATGCACGGGGAGGAAGGAGGGCTGCACACCCAAGGAAAGGAAAGGCTTTGAGGTGGGGGGAGTGAGCAGATGGAGGGGCACCCCCAGAGCCACGAGAAGCCCCAGTGTGGAAACTTCCAGCAGCACCCACTTGTGGCTCCCGGAGCGGCCCCGATCCCCAGGGATCCCTGCACATGCCCAAGGATCAGGGATAACCGCCCTGGGCCTCACCTCCCTGGGGCCTCCCCCCCTCCTCGGGGGAACGAGCCCGAATCCCCCCCAAAAACCAGAAAGGGGGTGTGTGGGGGCTGAAATACCCTTCCCCACACAGAGCCCCCCCAAACACGCAGCAACACCCCACTCCTCCACACCCCTCTCCCCAAAACCTGGGGGGATCCCCCGCTGGGGAACACGCCCCCTCCTCACCCCCCTGGCCTGGGGGCTCCCAAGGCT